CGAATGAGGAATTTTGGTTTTTTTTTTTTTTTTTTGCTCAAGTCCTTAAACAGAAACTTTGAGCTCTGTCTTCCAAGCAACAAGTGTTGAATCAATGTCAGGAATTTTCACACGCAAAGCGTGTGGAGTTCAGTCAGCAACTGAGCATCTAACGTATTTCTAACACGAGGAGGAGCGAGTTCAATACTTCCTAGAGTATTCATTGTCCAGTTGAAACGCATGGAGGGAAACTAACTCAGCCTGCACATCGCTCTACACACGACAGTGGCTGCGTCATGCTGTGGGGATCCTTTTCGTTCGCAGGAAGCAGGAAGCTGGTCAGAGTTAATTGGTTAATTGATGCACTTAGAAAGAGGACAATGCCAGAGGAAGCAAGGGCCTTCCTCTGGCATTGAAGGCCAGAGGAAGGCCCTTAAAAACCACGTTTGAGGTTCAGCCAAAGTGCAACTACCCTCACCGTGCAGCCACATCTACAGTGAAATGCATTAGCTCAAAGAAATGTGTGCCAACACTCTCCACTTTTGTTTTGCATTTGTAAAAAAAGCCATGTGTCACGTTTTTCTCAGCTTTACTGCAGTGGAGGAGTGCACAAATCTTTGTCTATTTTCTGCTATTGTCAAAAAGACACAATTTTGCAATTGCGGTTTCCCTTAAATAAGAAATTAAATGAAAAGCACACGTGAATAGGCTTGTTCACGTGATGAGTCATTGAAAATCATGGCCACAGCAGATACAAACAGTAACATGGGATCACATTGATAATTCAGCGATGACGCCAGCACTCATCGTCCATCAGACAATCAGAGGATGTTGGCGTCAAATTCAGGAGCTGGAGACAAGCCTCTTATAGTTTGGGGGAAACAGTAGTAGACGATTTTACAGAAGAGCTATGGATTCAACACGTTCAAGTGACACACAACTTATTATGAACTGTGTGATGCTGTGAGAGCTCGGGTAGAGTTATCTGCAAAAATAAAAAACGTAAAAATTAAGACAAACTACAACTTCCTGTCATCTTCTTTGTGGTTTTCGCGAGTAGTCACATCCGGTTGTCGACCCCGTGAATCGTGTAATGCGAACAACCCATCTCCATAACATTTTTGAGATTTCGATCCAACTGAAAAACTACAGCATTGGGACTGTATCTGTCGCTTTTTAGCTGAAAAAGGACACAAATATTTTGAACTAAAAATCTGAGGGTTTTTTTCTCTCTCAAAATTGAGGTGTTTCCATTCATCCATCCATTTTCTGCACACCTTTGTCCCTAGAGGGGTCGGGAAGGGTGCTGGTGCCTATGTCCAGTGAACCCTGTGCAGGTCGCCAGTCTACCACAGTGCAGTGTCTCCATTAAGCAAATTTATTTTCATAAAAATTCTATGGTCAATGAAAATGCACCTAAAAATGCACTCCGGCCTATCACAGATAATGACAAAAATAATGTCCATTTTGTCATGACAAAATTTTGAAAAAGTTCATCTCATTGGTAGACGTAAGTAATAACACCTACACCTTCCTCTACCAACACACAGAATTAAAACAAGCATCCTGCATGTTCTAATTCTCTCCCTGGTTTAACGCACCTCGATCAAATGATGGTTTGTCAGGAGGCCTATGAAGAACATTGACATGCTGAAAAGGTTGTTACTACCACCAGGGAGAGAACTAAAGCATGCAGAATGCCGGCCCTCGAGGACCGACTTTGGGCACCCGTTTTAAACCCAATCAACGCATCCCGATTCCAGCACTCCACGTGTGAAGTCTCCAGAGCTTCATATGCATTGTACTTTAATTAAGCAGCCCACCCCAGCGAAGCACACAAAAACCCCTCCAGGTCCCTTTATGTCCTCTGAGGTGCCTCAGTGGAGGGCCAGACACACTCTTCTTTTTTCTTTTTTTCTTTTCACTGCCTTTGTCTTCTCCATCTCACGACTCCCACTGGTGAAGCCGCGGTAGCGTCCCATGTGTTATTATCGGCCAATGATAAAGTAGCTGCCACAGCCCTCATGCATTATTCAGGATGAAAGGAAAGGAACTCCACCCCCAGTTATGTAAATCAAACTTATTTTGTAAGTGGGTGTGTGTGTGGGTGGGTGTGGGGGGGGGGGGTCGGATCTTGACATCAATTTCTCTCCCCCACCCCACAATGATCTCCCCACTGGAAGAGTCGGTACCACAGAGGCAGAGTGTCAGTATGTGAAAGAAAATAAAACAAAAGCAAACCCTACTAATGCTGAGCTACTGATACACATTTAACTTAAGGAAAGATATGAACTCTTATGAAAAATCCTCTAAAATAAGCCTGGAATTTATAGATACGGTTTGCTATGACATATTGTCTGATCTGCAGACTGCAGCTAGCAAAAAAAAAAAGGTCAACTAGAACCACCTGCAGCAAAAACTTGTACCATATTTTCTGGACTATAAGTCGCACCAGAGAACAAATCGCATTTTTGAGGGAAATTTATTCGATAAAATCCAACAACAGGAACAAACATGTCATCTTGAAAGGCAATAAAAATAGTATAGAGGCTAATAGTACGGTATGCTAACGTTACATGACACAGGAACAACAAACTGACAACGTGCCTGGTATGGTAACATAACATATTAGGAGTTATTCAGATAACTATAGCATAAATGACATGGTAACAAGTTTACCAAACCATCCATGTCTCTCCAAATCACTAAACGCAGTGAAATCTTCATCCTCGATGTCGCTTGTAAACAACTCTGCTAACTCCGAAGGTAGAATAACACAGGCCTAGAACGCCCTCTTGCAGTTTAGTGTGAAAATAACATGGGATATGATATAATGATGTGTTAGATTACCACACATAAGTCGCTCCAGAGTATAAGTCGCACCCCCAGCCAAACTATGAAAAAAAATGCGACTTATAATCCGGAAAATATGGTATATCCTATTTTTAAATCTCTTAAAAAGTTCTTGGGCCTTCTGCTCAAACTGTAGCTCCTTCATGTTCTCAATACAGGAATAATTTCATTGTTATTAGTGAACAATTAATATCTTACATAGAGTAAGATAAAAGAGAGAGAAGACAGGAAGAAATAGTCCAGAAAAGCTGAAGGAAAAGCTTTACATTTCCATTTTCAGTACCGGTTTCACTCAGGAGGGCAGACCACCTCCTACCTTCATTCCCTATAAAAAAATAAAATAAAATAATAATGCCTGTTTTTAAGATTGGAGTTGTTTTAAAAAGAAAGTCCAGTTTGTTTGACCACTTGTGAACTAGCTGCAACCTCACCTGCAACCCTAGCTAATCTGAATTAATACCACATGAAAATACAAAGAACACTATCTACGGCAGGGAAGAGATTACACCCTGCCATGAGTGAAACAAACTCTGTCGATATCTATAAAGAACCCATTCTGGGTCTAGCTAGGCCTTGCTCATAAACCACACCACCGATGAAAACTCTACTTCATTTCCTGATGATATGGTTGACATGAAACACGGTATGCCTCTTTACTGGCACAGACAGTTTCTCTGTAATACCTTTTACGTTACCACCAAATGGGCTTAATAGACTCCAATCTGGTTTTGACTGAAATCTGCGAGTAAACATCCTCAGATGGACAGAGATATCCACGGCTCCCCAGTGACACTTAAAACCTCTGTGCAATCTTAAATTGCCCACTCACCCCGCACAGCCACGCAATTTGATTGTGAATGACCGTGCCACTGAGGTTAATGCGCTTCTTTCCAGGAAGCAAGCCAGATGTCCCGTTTGATCCAGCACAAGATATATCACAATACTGTATTCATGATTTGATTAGCTGTTTTGAATAAAATTTGAAACTTGCATGTTACACACTGCGGTCAGAGTGTGTGGGGGTGTATTCCGCCTGTTCGGGGTAATACTCTCAGAGCAGGTCTGCAGGCTCAGTAGGTGAGTGTCTGTGACGCTGTGTGCTGTCACTGAGCCAGACGGACAGATTCACCGTCAGAAAGACGAATATTAATCAGGTCCCGGCTCAGGCTGTCCTGATATTGAGGCAGATGGTATCTGACAAACAGGGCCACGTGGCCATCCATCCATTTATCTTTTTTTATTTTTTCCAACAATCAAAAACAGTTTTTAAACTGTTTTTGATCATATTAATAATATTATTAATAATATTAATAATATTTGCAGCTCGCTATAGTTTGTCCACTTCGGTTTCATCATTCATGCTCATAAACTTTTTTCATCTTGGTTACAGGAAGAAATCTGTGGGGAGACAATAGGGGTGTTGCCCCCTGTTCCCCCTTTGGAGGCACTCAGTTTTTTTACTGTTTCATAAAAGTATGTCAACTCTCTACTAGTGACTTTGAGCACATCAATTTTTTTTTTTTTAAAAAGTGTTTCTCTTATATCTTGTTTGCATGCTGACTTAGAGAATGAGTTTGATAAAACTCACACCGTACTCCATGCAATTTCTCTCAAATTCATGGTTTTGTACTTACTGTAAGCAACAGCAAAGTGAAAAAACAGCTACTGCTTGCTCGCACTAATGTTCAAGCGACAGTCCTTCCTTCGGGAATGGATTTGCACGGCAAAATGATGTGGAACTAACCTGAAAACCCCCCTAGGTAGCTCACAGGCGGCTATTTTCTGATGTTTTCCGGCAACAGAGCTCATACTGTAAGAATCTGTAAAAGTGTGAGTAGGAATTCAAATTTACGTAAATTTGTAGGAATTCCTGAGCTGAATTCTGTAAACAAACCACTTAAGCACCAATTCACTCCAACTACAACGTTGCCTTGCGGTAAAACTTGGTAAAACTGGATAAAATGTATAAATGAGCATAATCCCTATGGAGTCTCGCCATGTTGCCTTCATGGTGGCTACAGCGGAGAAACGGGAATCGGGGAGGTAAGAGGAACACGAGGGGGCGGGAGGGGAGGAGAACGTGTCTTTCTTTTTCTTCTCTCTATTTTTTGTTTTGTTTTGTTTGTTTTGTTGTTGTTGTTGTTTTGTTTTGTTTTTTTTTTTGTTACCTGTGACATTTGCGGCCGGAGGTTGATCTCCTTCAGGTTGATGCACTGGGGCTTCAGGTTGTTGAGCAGATGGCACAGGAGGACTCCATCCCGGAGGGTCTGAGCCAGGTCGAATACCTGCGCTGACTCCCATGTCACCCTGTGGTTCGCCGGGAGCACCTTGCAGTTGATCAGCCACAGCGCGCACTGCCTCCAGTACTCCATCATTATTCTGTCTTCAGCCGGAGCGTAGTTCTCACGGGTCTCTCCCGTGCGTGCGTGCGTGCGTGAGTGCGTTCGTCCGCGCTCGTGCGCCTACGGACTCAAAAACTGCTAACGGTTCGGCAACACACCTCTCGCGCCTTTCAGCACACCGGACCCATGCCGGTCAGCGTGAAACCCGACGAGGAGAGTGAAAGGGAACGGATAGCTCCTGGGAGATGCGTAGCGGGCGCTCCACGGATGACGGGGTCCGGCGTGGCGAGGCTGAAGCGAGACTGTAGATGGAGTGCGTCCCGCACCCTTCCTCTCTCTCTCTGTTTCTCTCTCTCTCTGTTTCTCTTCCCTCCCCCTCACCCTGTTCACCTCTTCCGCTTGCCACACGGGCAGTACAGCACAAGAAATAGCACGACTTCACACCTCGCACGCTTCGAAAGAGGGGTAAAGATAACGTTGTTGTTTTGTATTTTTGTCCTCTTTTTTTTATTTGGTTGCATTTCTACTACTTCTATTAAGAAAGCACAAAAGAGCTTGAGTGCATGAACATATTCCTCAGTGCTGATCAATTCATAAATGCACGAGCCACTTTCCCTGACCTAAACACTATTCACATGCATTATTGTGCAGTACAGTTAAAAAAAAAGTGAGACATATTTTATATATATATATATATATATATATATATATATATATATATATATATATATATATATATATATATATATATATATATATATGTATATGTATATATATATATATATATATATATATATATACATATATATATATATATACATATATATATATATACATATATATATATACATATATATATATATATATATATATATATATATATATATATATATATATATATATATATATAATTCCCTTCACCCACCGCGGGTGGTTCTTATCCTCTGAGCTCAGGTCCTCTACCAGAGGCCTGGGAGCTTCAGGGTTCTGCGCAGTATCTTGGCTGTGCCAAGGACTGCACATTTCTGGACTGAGATGTCTGATGTTGTTCCTGGGATCTGTTGTAGCCACTGCTCCAGTTTGGGGGTTACTGCCCCGAGGGCCCCGATGACCACAGGCACCACTGTGGTCTTCACCTTCCAGGCCCTCTCCAGTTCTTCCCTGAGGCCCTGGTATTTCTCCAGTTTCTCGTGCTCCTTTTTCCTGATGTTGCAATCACTTGGTATTGCTACATCTACCACAACGGGCTTTCCTCTGATTTTTATCCACTACGACAATGTCTGGTTGGTTCGCCATTACCATTTTGTCTGTCTGGATCTGGAAGTCCCACAGGATCTTAGCTCTGGTGTTCTCTACCACCTTTGGGGGTGTTTCCCACTTTGATCTCGGGGTTTCCAGTCCATATTCTGCACAGATGTTTCTGTACACAATGCCTGCCACTTGGTTATGTCGCTCCATGTATACTTTCCCTGCCAGTATCTTGCACCCTGCTGTGATGTGCTGGACTGTCTCAGGGGCCTCCTTGCACAACCTACACCTTGGGTCTTGTCTGGTGTGGTAGATCTGGGCCTCTATTGCTCTGGTGTTTAGGGCCTGTTCCTGGGCGGCCAGGATGAGGGCCTCTGTGCTGTCCTTGAGTCCAGCTTTTTCCAGCCATTGGTAGGATTTACTGATATCAGCCACTTGGGTTATTTGCTGGTGGTACATCCCATGTAGGGGCTTGTCCTCCCATGATGGTATCTCTGGCACCTCAACCTCCGTTCCCTGTTGTCTGAGACATTCACTGAGCACATTGTCTTGAGGCTTTGTCCCATGATGTATTTATGGATCTTAGTTGTTTCGTCCTGGACAGTGGTTCTCACACTCACTAGTCCTCTGCCTCCGTCCTTGCGGCTCGTGTACAGTCTCAAGGTGCTGGATTTGGGATGGAACCCTCCATGCATGGTTAGTAGCTTTCTAGTCTTAATATCTGTGGCTTTTATCTCCTCCTTTGGCCAGCTAATTATTCCAGCAGGGTATCTGATTACTGGCAGGGCATAGCTGTTTATCGCACTGATTTTGTTCTTGCCATTGAGCTGGCTTCTCAGGACTTGCCTTATTCGTTGGAGGTATTTAGCTGTGGCTCCTTTCCTTGTGGCCTCATCGAGGTTGCCATTTGCTTGTGGTATACCTAGGTACTTGTAACTGTCCTCTATGTCTGCTATTGTTCCTTGTGGGAGTGAGACTCCTTCTGTGCGGATCACCTTCCCCCTCTTTGTGATCAGCCGACCACACTTCTCTAGTCCGAATGACATCCCAATGTAAGTGCTGTAGATCCTGGTGGTGTGGATCAGTGAGTCGATGTCTCGCTCACTCTTGGCATACAGCTTGATGTCATCCATGTAGAGGAGGTGACTGATGTTGGCCCCATTTTTGAGTCGGTATCCGTAGCCAGTCTTGTTGATAATTTGGCTGAGGGGGTTCAGGCCTATGCAGAACAGTAGCGGGGACAGAGCATCTCCTTGGTATATGCCACATTTGATGGACACTTGTGCAAGTGGTTTGCAGTTGGCTTCAAGGGTGGTTTTCCACAGCTTCATCGAGTTTGCAATGAAGGCTCTCAGAATCCTGTTGATGTTATACATCTCTAGGCATTCAATGATCCAAGTATGCGGCATTGAGTCATAGGCTTTCTTGTAATCAATCCAAGCCATGCACAGGTTGGTGTGTCGGGTTTTGCAGTCCCGGGCAACTGTGCGGGCAATGAGGAGTTGGTGTTTGGCTCCTCTGGTATTTACACCGATACCCTTCTGTGCCGTGCTCATGTGTTTATCCATGTGTTTGCTTATCTTGGCCGCTATGATGCCTGACATGAGCTTCCAGGTTGTGGAGAGGCAGGTTATTGGTCGGTAGTTGGGTGGGACTGGACCCTTTGATGGATCCTTCTGGATTAGGATTGTCCGCCCTTCAGTTAACCATTCAGGGTGAGTCCCACTTTGTAGCAGCTGGTTCATTTGGGCTGCCAGTCGCTCATGGAGAGCAGTGAGTTTCTTTAGCCAGTAGGCATGGATCATGTCAGGCCCTGGTGCTGTCCAATTTTTCATGCCTGAGAGTCTTTCTTGAACATCTGTCACAGTGATGGTTACCGGGGCTTGCTCAGGGAGGTTGCTGTGGTCCTCTCGTAGAGAGATCAGCCACTGTGCATTACTGTTGTGGGACGCCTCCCTTTCCCATATGCCTTTCCAGTATTGTTCAGTCTCCAGCCTTGGTGGGTCTGCTCTGTTGTTATTACCCTGCCATTGAGAGTACACCTTAGCTGGTTGAGTGGAGAAGAGCCGGTTAATCCTTCTGGATTCATTCTCCCTTGTGTATCTCTTTAGGTCTTTAGGCGGCTGGCCAAGGCTTGGAACCTCTGTTTGGCAGTTTCAAGTGCTTCAGGTATGGGCATCTGGCTGTACTTTCTGGGTACTGTACTTCCTTGTTACCTTGATTTTAGCCTCTAACCGTCTTTTCCATGGTGGGTATTGGGTCTCATGGTTGCTCTTATAGCCAAGTATCTCAAGGATCACTGATGCTGAGTTGTAGATCAGCTCATTGGTTTCTGTTATGGTGTTGATAGGGATTGTTCTCAATGCTGCATTCACATTGAGACTTTCTGATGGTACTTCACTCAGCCGTTGTCATTCGGGTCATGATTCTCTCTCTCAGGTCAGCAGCTGTCTCGTTCTGTTTCGCTCATTGGGGCCGTGTATCCCCTCACTGGGTGGGGACTTGTAGTTAAGTCCCCACAGTTCTGACATCCGGGTTCCTCCCTTTTGCCGCATAGTTTGTGTTGTGTCCGTCTAGTCTCATGTTGTGATAGCAGTTGCCGTTTGCGGATGTTGGAACACTGAGCTACTAGTTGTTTAACGCTTAGTGTTGACTGGGGATGTCGAAGTAACCATTCCTTCCCCAGTCTTTGCATGTAACCTCTCTCACTAGGGTTACTTGAGTAGTAGCATTCCAACAGATCCACATTTTCATCTCTCGCCCATTTCCGTCTTGTTCCAGTAGCCCATTTGTCATCAAGGTGCTCTGGTTCCCCAACACCTGACGCAGACCTTGTTTGGCCGGGCGACGTCTGAGCCGGCATGTTACGCAACTTAGTATCTCTCATGGTATGAGGTAGGCAGTAGCTTGAAGGGTCTTGCCTAAGGACCCAGACTGGATTCGAACCCTGCCCTCTCGGGTGATATACTGATGCCTTATGTATTGAGCTATCCAGTCAGCTATATATATATATATATATATATATATATATATATATATATATATATATATATATATATATATATATATATATATATATATATACAAAAAAAATGTTGACAAATAATTGTTCTGTGGATGCATGGTCGACTTGACTTTTGGGAAGATTACTGACTTAGACAGTCGCTGAGACCTTGTACAAAGAGGGTGAGCCACAAGAGTACTATATCCAAACACATAAAGGTAAAGTTGAGTGGAAGGGGAAAAGAGTTGCTGAAAAAGATTTTCATTGCATAATATATAGCTTACTAAAATGTATTTTCATATACTGTGCAGTGTATGGACTTGGTCCTGGGTTGAGACTCTGTTCTTATGAGCTATTGCATCAGAGAATCACGAAGTCCTCTAAAATTACTTTTCTTCATTATTAGTATTGGCAAAGAAAGTGAAACTACAAGTGTTCCCAAGTGTCCACGAAAACCATTTGACTGAATCAACAAGCCAAAGGATTTCTAGAGAGATTTCTGTCAATATCCTTGTTTTTACGTCACAAATGTTGAGCTTTGACAGTTGAGCTTTGACAAAGTGGCTCAACGAACTTGTTGCATTTGAAGGAAATAGATCAACTTTTTCCCACTGCCAAAATGCAGTTTTACTCAGATCAACAAACGCACTATCTACTGACCTGATAAGTTTTATGGGGAGCATAAACACTAAATGTCAGATTTTTTTTAAATTATATTTTAACATTTCATAACTCTTCCTCATTGGCTTGCCAATGAGTCTGCAGCACCTAAGTTGTTTTGTCCTTTGTAAGGTATAAAAACATTGCCCATGCATGTCTTCTGCTTTTGTCGCCTCCACGTCTCACTGGCAACAGACAACAGTTGCAAACATGGCATTTGGATGTTTCTGTAACTGACCAGAAGTGGAAAAGACACTCGTGGTTCCTTTACCAACAATGTCGACTTGGAATGTCACCAAAGAGTTCACTGACTTTAGTTTTTGGATTCAAAAGGTGAAGCTCAGCTACAGATTCATCACATAAAGTGTTTGTAAAACAGAAGGTAGACTGAAATTAGCATGTGTATGTATATTTTATATGTTGCACTTTGTGCCAAGTCTAGCTTAGTGAGTTTCTGCGGTTCACTGTGGCATAGGGACAATCATGAGTGTAAAACCATGGGGTTTATTTCTGGTGAATTAAGTTATCTAAAA